GTGAAAAAAAATACCAGTTGAAGTACTATTACAGAATAATTGGTTATACTTCCTATCGATAATAATGAATGGATAATCTTAATTACCTCAGAATCTGCCTATAATGATGCAGAGCACCCATCCACCCAGAACACTTTTTACCAATAATTACCATGTCTACAGTAATAACAGCGGTATCTCAGGAGTATATCAGTATCTACTCACTACACAAAGTGATTTCCGGATGACCTTCTAGCAGGTCACACTGAAATATAAAGAGTACACCAACCTTCAGAACAGCATCTTGGTGGGAGATACTATTAGCTCTTTTCTAGATACTTTCGCTACATACCACCTATCCATACCAGAAACAACACTCCTCAGGATGATGGAAAACCTTCAAGTTTTCTGCATTTGGTGGCTTCGCCTTACCCTTCATTGTCATGAGACATCTAACTTGCCCATCACCATTTCTATGATCAGCCCACTAAGGCTCCACTCTTCCTCAGAACCTCAGCAAACTCCCAACCAACCACAAGAGAAATCCTGTGTGTGTCAAGGGAAATTTACTATATTCCAGGTGACGTTAAGATCAGAGGTATTCACTGACCTACCAGAAGAATTATGGGCTAAAAGAGCAATTGCAGGAACCCACATTTTACTGTCAAAATACAAGGAAGTCACATTAAGCTGTGTTTAAGGCAAACCCAAGGAACTACTTTATACAACCTTAATCATAGTTTACATTCTACATGTTATTTACCTTTTTTGTGCTATTAACACAGTCCTTATAAGTATCTATTTTAATAGCTTCTTAAATCATTGATATACCATAACTGACTTAAAAATTCCCTCCCTGTAATGGAAGCTTTTTCTAATTTTTCTCTATTACAGATAGTGGTTCAGTAAACATCTTTACACATAAAGAATTTCTTCTTTTAAATTGTTTCTTAGTTATAAAATAAGTAAGTCCTACGGATATAATGTACAACATGGTGATAATAGTTAAAAATAACTATATTGTTAAAAAATACTACATTATATATTTCGAAATTACTAAGAGAGTAGTAAAAGTTCTCACAACAACCAAAAATGGTAACTATATGAAGTGATGGATGTGTTAACTAACCTTATTACGGTAATCATTTTGTAATATATTCATATACTAAATCATTAGGTTGTACACTTGAAACTTACACAATGCTATATATCTATTTTATCTAAATAAAAATTATTTGTTTAGGATAATTTCAGAAGCATGAACCTCTTAAAGAATATAAATATTTTAACTTTTTATAGGAATCGCTCAATGTATAGCTCAAAGGGCCATACCAAGCCACCATTCAAATCCCTGATGGTCCTTCTACCTCAAGCATACACTAACAAATGTTCCTCTAATACAAAATGGTTGGAAGTATAAATTAGGACCACTGTTTGTGGTGTTTCTAAAAAGTTAAAATGTACAATGCCCTTTGACCTTGACATTCCATTTCAAAAAACTGGTTCTTTGAAATAATGGCATATTTACCCAAAGAAAAATGAACAAGGATGCTCACTGCAGCACTGTTTGTGCTAAAAAAACAAAACAAAACAAAACAAAAAAAACAAAAAAAACAAAACACCCAGACATTAATGTAACTATTCATTAAGGGGAGAATAAATTTTGATAAATCAAAATAATGTATATTTATTTCTGTTTTAAAGAAACTATATGCAGGTTATTTGCACCTATCTATCTATGCATTTGCAGTGTATAGAGAAAAAGTCAAGAGGATATACCACTAGTAGTGGTAACCTACAGAGAAATTGGGGAAAAGGGGGTGATGGGATAGTGATGAAAGAAAAATTATATATTTCACTCCATAGGTTTGCATGTGTTTGGACTGTTTACAGTGACCAAATATTCATCTAATACTTTTACAATTAAAATAACTTGTAAAATAAAAGAAAGTACTTGAAATAAGACAAACTTCGTAACACTTGAGTGATTGAAACCTATTATTTCCTACCTCTCTCTCTCTTCCTCCTTTTATTCTTTATCAATCTAAATAACACTGAACACTAGCAATGCTTTCCATTACTGATTTTATCAACGTCCATTGCCTTGTAAATGAGTGAAGCAGAATAAAAACCAGGTAGAGAATTGGTGCTGAGAAAGGAGAATAGATGTTTGGAAATGTAAAAAAATTAAGAAGAAAGAGACTGAAGAACCACATATTTTCAAATAATCTGTATTCCAAACCACAAAGCATAATAAAAGTGTACTTTTATGCACGCTACCTTTTCATACTGGCTTTAACTTTTACAGTGGAACAAACGATTTGCTGCATTAAAAAATGCTGGATATTTATTTAAACCTGCAGGTCTCAGACTAAACCACTCTGCAGACCGTCTGATTAGAATCACCTGTGGTACTGCCTGACCATCAAAAGCAAAGTCTTTAGGTACAACTCCAGATCTGAAGCTAGAGGGTGGATATCTTCAAGCTTCAAGGTTGACATATGAATCCCACAGTTTAAAATATACATTCTTAAGCATTCAGGAACACTGGGCATCATAGTAGTACACAGGAACAGAGTCATTCCATTATTGAAAAGAAAAAAATCTCATTTGGCTGTCTGAAAGACAGTAAAGTCATAATTTATTTTCTAGGGGCACCTGGGTGTCTCAGTCAGGTTGGGCATCCGACTTCGGCTCAGGTCACGATCTCGCGGTTTTTGAGTTCAAGCCCTGTGTCGGGCTCTGTGCTACAGCTCAGAGCCTGGATCCTGCTTTGGATTCTCTGTCTCCTTCTCTCTCTCCTTCTCTCTCTGCCCCTCCTACTTGTGCTCTGTCTCTCTCTGTCTCTCAAAAATAAATAACTGTAAGAAAAAAAAATTTTAATAATAATAATTTATTTTCTAAAGATTACACTTTCTAATCTAGACAAAATACAATCCGATTTAGATTTTATATACCATTCAGGCAGGGACTGTTTCTATTTTGATCATAACTCTGAGCCCAGCACCAATGTCTGGCATGTACTAGGCACTCAGTAAATATCTGCTGACTTAATAGGATTTGGACCAGGGAGCTCCTCACGTAAACACAAAAATTAATTTGGATGAACTGGATGTGGCCAGTGGGGGCAGAGAATATGAGCCTGGGAAAGAGATAAGATGGATTCCATGCAGGGCTCTGCAAATGGAGGAACAGGATCTCATTCAGCCACTTAACATTTGTTAGTCTCATATCCCTTTTCTATAAAATAAGGGAGCAGATTTGGGGAAATTAACTGCCAAGGAATCATTTAAATTTAGCCTCAAACATTGAAATTGAGATTCTAGAGTAGCTGAAACACTCCTTTGATAAATGTCCTTGTGTGCTCTCATGTAAAAGCTAAAACTGTAAAGACAAAGAAACATTTTGAAATGATGGATATTACCTTCACCACTGATTTGTCATTCTGTGATTAAGTGTGAAATCACTGGCAAGAGGACAATCCATTTGAAAGCAAAACAAGAAAGATAATGAGTAAAAACAGTAAACCATCAGTCTGCAAGTTTTGACGGTTGTTAGTCCAAATTTCAACATCTGTTACTTAAAATATTTAGGAATGGTACCTGATATAGTTATTATTGAATGTGGGGCATAGTCACCAAAAGAAAAAAAAAACATCTTTTTGAGAAAGTATTCACAATAGCTTGTAAAAAACTCACAACCACAGGATGGTCAATCACCCAAACAGAGGTTCTAAAAGACTGAAAAGACCTTCTGAGCGAAAAGACGTTAAATACAATATGTGCCAAATTTAGAAAAGAGATCTACTTACTAATAAACATGACCTTCATTTATAAAGCTGCAAATCAGTCTTAACTGCAGCAAAGGGTCAGGGAGAGTAGGAACGAATATTAATCTGCATGGCCATCTCCAGAACTCTGGTATGTTAGAGCAGGTCAGATGTCTAAATGTGCATAAGACGCTCCCTAGGCTGAAATGGGAAAAACAACGAAGGGTGCCCTTAGGATTCCAGGAGAAAAACTCATGAATCCTGAAGAAAACCAAAAGTTACTGCAACCTGTGAGAAGGCAGAAAGTCACCCTAAGATGTGGGAGGTCAAGAGACCGGTCCCTCAGCTCGTGTCAGGAAAAAGTACTTTTAAGTGATGGGAGGATGGGGGCTCCTCAGTTACCCTCTTGCCCAGTCCGTGGAACACCTGTTCCAAGCCCTAATGGCAACAACTGCTCAACGCACAAGGTCGTCTACTGGAGCCCTTGAAAGAGATGCGTAAAGGGGCGTAAAAAGCTTGTCCCACCTTGAAGAACCCAGTTCCAGTGAGCAGCACCAGGGCATGCAGGCCAGAGGAAGAAGCTTTGAGGGCAGCAGGCTGTGAACAACCATAAGCAAAGAAAGCAGTAAAATGGGGCTCCAGCCCTGCTTCAACACCGTTCAACGGAGCAGATGTGGCAACAGACGAAGCAGCAGGAAACGTGGGTCAGAGTATACAACTAACAGCCACAGAGGCAAAAGAGGGCACAGGGGTAATGGCCTGCATGGAGTCTCGTGAGCCAGCTCAGCATCCCTGGGAACTGGAAACAATCTCACTTGGAATCCCAGGACCAAGAGTAGTAGGGGGTCAAAAACGACTGCAAATGTCACTCATGCCCCAACCATGCTTATTAAGGCTGGTGTAGCGGGCAAAACAAGGCTTAGGATAAAACTGTCCACTCACCTTCTTCCGGAGCCATGGTGCTTTGGACAATTTCATAAAAGTCAAATGAGGCTTAAAACCCCTGTTTTCTCCTGCCAAGATGCCCTTTTCTTGAAACGTCCTTTTTGCAGTCTCTAAAGAAAATAAAAACCAAAAAAATGCTACTGCAACACATAGCTACCTTTCATTATAAAAATGGCAGTTCAAAAAATAACAAATTACTCTATAATGAAGATTAAATACCTGTATGAGATATTATTTTTTAAGAGAGGAAAAACCACAATGTGTATAACAAGTATATTATTAAATTTGCAGAGATTTCAAATTTTAAGCACGCAAAAGCAACAATTTGAAAAGGAAACATTTAATAAAACAAAAAAAATTTGTCTGATATGTTGATTTTCACTGAATATCCCAGTGGTATCCATACTCATAAAGAAGGACCAGCTTATCTGTAACCCATAATATCTAAAGACCAAGATGGAATAAAAGAAATCAGATTCACCCTCCCATCTGAAACAATAAAAGGACAAGGTACATAAAACAATGGTTTGCAAGACACTGTATGTATTGGGCAAAAACAGGTCAGTGATCTCTTAGAGATAAAAAACAAGGTAAGCCCCTTAGGGTTAGAGTTAGGGGTTAAGGGTTAGGGTTTGGGGTTAGGGTTAGAAATAGTGTTAGGGGTTAGTGTTAGGGTTAGGGGTTAAGGGTTAGGACTTGGGGTTAGGGGTTGCTCCTCATCATGGAAATACAAATCAAAACCACACTCAGATATCACCTCACGTCAGTCAGAGTGGCCAAAATGAAAAAATCAGGAGATTACAGATGCTGGCGAGGATGTGGAGAAACAGGAACTCTCTTGCACTGTTGGTGGGAATGCAAATTGGTGCAGCCACTCTGGAAAACAGTGTAGAGGTTCCTTAAAAAATTAAAAACAGACCTACCCTATGACCCAGCAATAGCACTGCTAGGAATTTACCCAAGGGATACAGGAGTACTGATGCCTAGGGGCACTTGTACCCCAATGTTTATAGCAGCACTCTCAACAATAGCCAAATTATGGAAAGAGCCTAAATGTCCATCAACTGATGAATGGATAAAGAAATTGTGATTTATATACACAATGGAGTACTAATATGGCCCTTTGTAGCAACATGGGAGGGGAGGTTGGGTGATGGGTATTGAGGAGGGCACCTTTTGGGATGAGCACTGGGTGTTGTATGGAAACCAATTTGAAAATAAACTTCATATAATGAAAAAAAAAAAGAAATAGTGTTAGGGTTAGGGGTTAAGGGTTAGGGCTTGGGGTTAGGGTAAGAAATAGTGTTAGGGGTTAGTGTTAGGGTTAGGGTTAGAAGTAGCGTTAGGATTCGTATCAAGCTTTGCTAAGTGGTAAAAAATGGGTTTAGAGAGGTGGGCAGGAGCATTAGAGACATGGTAAAATCTTCAGATTGTATTCTCAGTATGGCGGGAAATCCTGGCGGTTTTAAGCAAGGGAAATGTACGTGTGAGAATAACTTTCTTTATTCATCTCTATTTCAACTACAATGTACACTTCTTCCTCTGGAAGAAATTTAATCTCAGACAATCCAATGCTCCCCTCTTTTTGTAGGACTGTAGTTTAGCTGAATAGAAGGTAGCTAATGGGGTGTCATACATTTTAGGAGGGGATGTAGCATCTGGCTCTTGGGTCATCATCCGCAACTCTTGAGACACGCACCATGCTTGGTTTTTGTAGTGGACCCTCCCTCATCCCTATATAATGACTGCAACTTCCCTTCCACCTCTGGTGTGCAAGATTTCATTCTGTTGGTCACCATACCCTGGCAAGCAGGAGTTCACTGAACCTGTCTGAGCCCCTTTCCCACTTTCTTGCTATTCTTGAGCACGCAAAAATAGCATAATTCCCCAGGACCAAGGAGGAAAGGGCCGAAACCCTGTAAGACCACCCATTCACACAATACCACCCTCACTTCACCTCCACCACCCCTCTAGAAGCACAGGGGCTTCTTCCTTGCCACACCTATAGGCACACTTCAGGAGCAAAGCACAGGGTCACCCCTGCTCTCAGACTCATGTGAGTTTCTGCTCTTCCAGTTAGGATGATAGAGGGGCAAGAACTCACACTCTACCTTGGGCTCTAACTCTCTTCTTTGCCTGACCCTGGGAGTCTTTTCTAGCATCAAAGCAGGAAAAACTTACCATTATGTTTAGGTGTTGAACTCCCAAAGCCTTTCCTCAATTTTTCTTGCTATATTCTATTCTGTGAAAATGGGTGCCACTGTCGGGGTGGGGGGAGGTGGGGAGAATAGGCACAGAACAAGGCATATAAGAAATACAAGGAGAGGGACGCCTGTGTGGCTCATTCAGTTAAGCCTCTGACTTTGGCTTGGGTCATGATCTCACGGTTCATGAGTTTGAACCCCACATCAGGCTCTGCACTAACAGTGTGGTACCTGCTTGGGATTCTCTCTCTCTCTCCCTCTCTCTCTGCCCCTATCCCCACCTTGCTCTCTCTCAAAAATAAATAAATAAACTTAAAAAGAAACAGACTTAGAGTTAAAATATTAAGCCAACTCATACACAACTGCCATTTTTATGGGTCAAAAATAGTCAAATATTGGCAGTGTCTGATAGCTTAACACATACCATGGTGGACTAACTTATTAAGTTTCTAGGATCGGACTGAAGGGATTAGGATGTATTTCCTAAGTCTTCAAGTATTTGAAGAATTAGCACGTAGAAGAGTTACTGGTAGCAACTCGGCAACATGTTCGTATCAACCCAGAAAACAGACATGGCATGAAGGTGCGAAAGCAAAAATTCATTTGTTCATTTATTTACTGAGCACTTCCCAAGTATGTCAGGCACACTATCTGCTTGAGACAGCAAACGTGTCCCTGCTTTCAGAGAGCTTACAGTCTCAGGGGACAGATTTGGGTCCAGTAAAGAGAAGGACTTAACAATGTTCAGAATTATCAAAAACTACAAAAGATATAAAGAAAGGAGTTTTGTGAAGAGAAATTAAAAGAGTAGGCATCTCTACTGTTCATTACTATCTATATTAATTTACACTTATGTATTTTACTTGATGTAACAATCTTATTATCAACTGATTCTAAAGATAGAACATTTTCCTATTTACTGGTCTCAGTTACATTAAATTTTGACCCAACAGTTTTCATTATTCACTGGGCGTAATTTTTTTTTTTTTTTCAGAGACAGAGAGACAGAGACAGAGAAAGCATGAGCTGAGCTGGGGAGGGCAGAGAGAGAGGGAGACAGAATCCCAAGCAGGCTCCTCACTGTCAGTGCAGAGTCTGATGAGGGGCTCAAAGCATGAACCATAAGATCATGATCTGAGCCGAAATCAAGAGTCAGACACTCAACCAACTGAGCCACCAAGGTGCCCTAGGCCTTAAATTTTTGATGATAGGTATCTATTTACAATACTGTTTTAAATAATATGTCACAAAGCACATATAATTTGTTACTGTGTTTTGTTCAGTACAGTATATCCTCTAGGTAGACAGAAATAAGAAAAAAAAGAAATTGTTGTCTTCTTTTTGAAAAGTATTTCTTAGTGTTGGTGTTTTGCTCCTAATAGCAGTATAATCTATTGCTTAGCTAGACTACAGGGTAATGGTTATAGATATATCATTCTTGAGGGACACCTGGGTGGCTCAGTCGGTTAAGCATCTGACTCTTGATCTCTCAGTTAGCGAATCTGAGCCCAACGTCAGGCTTTGCTGACAGCACAAAGCCTGCTTAGGATTCTCTCTCTTCCTATCTCTCTGCCCCTCCCCTGTTCGTACACGCTCTCAAAATAAACAAACATTTTTTTGAAAGGTCATTCTTGAGATGAGAAGAGTTTTTGCCAGTGTGAAAACCACGTGTCATTTTTCATCTACGCCAACTCACATTCTGAAGAGAAGCTTATGAATAATTTAAGAGATTGTTCAATTCCTCCTAGTCCACAGCCATTCCTCCAAGCACTAAATAGAAAATCACAGAGCAAATATATCAGACACCCTTCAAAAGCCAACTAAGAACACTTCCTAAATAATACGACATGCCTCATAGCTAAAGGTGCAAAATGTCCGAAGAACAATTTCTTAAAATGTATTTAAACACTAGGAGACTTCACTATATAAAAGAAAACTGAAATGATATTTCATTAAAGAAACAATATTTTGTAATCCTAACAAATACAGTTTTCTCTATTTGGGGGAGGGGGTTGTTTTATTCAACAAACATTTATTGAGTATGCTAAGCACTAGGAAGTTTTATCTGTTTTTTAATTTTTTATATATATTTATTTTTATATAGGACATTTTATTCAAATGAACTCTTAAGTATGTAGCAACAATAAATTTATAGCTAAAATGTAAAGAAATTGCTAAAGTTGTCTCAAAGTAAATGTTGCAACAGACCAATTTTAATAAAATCATGTCTTTTTAACTAAATACACCTTCTTGTAAATTTTTTTCCTTTTTTCCTCTTTTGCTGTTTTTACCCTTTTGCTAACATTGTAAGGGATATTTATATGATAGCATGATCTATAATTTGAGAATAATCACAAAGAGGTTTATTTTTTTATTGAGGTATACAAAAAGTTTACTAATAAGAGTAGTCTAGGGGCGGCTGGTGGCTCAGTTAAGCGTCCAAGTCTTGATTTTCGTTCAGGTCATGATCTCACATTCCGTGAGACTGAGTCCCGTGTTGGGCTCCATGCTGACAGCGCAGAGCCTCCTTGGGATTCCCTCTCTCTCCCTCTCTCTCTGCCCCTCCCATGCGTTCACGCAGCACACGTGCACTCTCTCTCTCAAAATAAAAAGAATAATTTAGAATACTAAATGTAAATTACATAGTCCTAATAAATTCTTAAGTTTTAATATTCTATTTCAGATACAACAGAAATAAGTAGTTGGATTTCAGCTTTAAGAAGACTGATTTGTAATTAGACAATACACAATACAATCGGGGGTGATAAAGTCTCTCCATGCTTTCTAATTGGAAGATACTTTCTTACACTATTTTAAGTTACAGTAAATCTATGTCACATATAGTATGAAAAATCTCAATAAAATTTTAGAATCGCTGTTTAGCCATCTAAACTTGAATGAAATAA